ACAGTGATATGCAATGCTTCCAAAAAAATCTATTTACTGCCCAACAGATGGCAAGAGTGTATAATTTCTCACAGTAACATGTTTTTCTATTGAAATATGGAGTAGAGAGAGTAACTGAGTTGCCTGTTGATTGTTTTTAGCAGTGTAGCAAAAATGAGATGAACTTGGTCTTATGAAAACTGCTCACACCAACAGGCTGAGGTCAAGTACTCACTGAGGGGCAAATCTATGTAGGGGCCATACCTCTTCCAACTGTTAGTAGGATCTCATATTCTTAAATAATCCCCCAAACAAACAAACAGTTCTTTCAATGCAGAAGACTGGCATGGCTGTAAGACATAGCTGGTTAGTTGCTTGACAAAGGGGAGGTTGTTCAACCAGAGATCCTTCCCATCTCGTCTTTCCCCCTTGTCCAGCCATGGACAGCATTCCAAAGAGCTGCTATGGAAGAAAGAAATTACCCAAACTTAGACAGAACCATCCTGAACAAAGTTTTAGTTGTGCCTGTAAAAATATCACTGTGCTACTCTGAAGTCATTTTGGGAAGGAGTGTTTTATTCACAAGCAAACTGGGAAGATTTAAAGCTCTTGTGACTATAATCTAAAGCAGCTCTGGAGAAGTTGGTTGTGCTATGTAAGGATGTGTTCATAGAAGTGGTTCCTAACCTTTGGTCCTCCAGATTGTTTTGGACTTCAACTCCCAGAAATCCCAACCAGTTTACCAGCTGTTAGGAACTGTGGGAGCTGAAGTCCAAAACACCTGGAGTCCCAAAGGTTGGGAAACACTGATATATAGAATTAGGAGTGTTACTGTGTTGTTTATGGATGGAGGAGAGCATCGTAAACCTTCAACTTGGAATTCCAAGTTGTCATAGTCTGTTTTTTCTTGTTTAAAGAAAAATATCTCATTATGAGATGACAGTTACTTGCTCGTACAAAATCTAGTTAACATAGTTTGTGGCAGGGGGTTCTTGGAGTTGTGGTTCAAAAGAATTACTTTCCCGAGCACTGTCCTAGAGCAGGACTTTTAAAATTAATTTTACATGACCCTGGGTATATAGTTATATAAAATTGGTATATAAATTAAACATTAACTAATAATAAATCACCATTTGCAAGGCTTGCTGAGCAGGCTGATTTTCCTTTTTATGAAGTACAGCTGAAGCATCATTTGCAGAATCCACTGTAAACACTACACAATAGATTCATGTAATGTCTACCACAGCCACTAAGTGAGGTAAAGGGTTTCCCCTGACATTAAGTCTAGTCGTGTCCGATTCTAGAGGTTGGTGCTCAGCTCAATTTCTAAGCTGAAGAGCCAGCGTTGTCTGTAGATACCTCCAAGGTTATGTAGTCGGCACGACTGCATGGAGCGCCGTTATCTTCCTGCCGGAGTGGTACCTATTGATCTACTCACATTTGCATGTTTTCAAATTGCTAGGTTGGCAGAAGCTGGGCCTAACAGCAGAAGCTCATGCCGCTCCCCGGATTCAAACCTGTGACCCAGGCCTGTAGCGAGGCGGTGGTTTTAGGGGTTCAACCCCCCCCCCCCCGAAATGTTTCAGATTTTTAAAAAAACCTGGTTTACTCATGAATTTTAACTGGTTTACCAAATCCCCATGCTAAGTCTATGAGATGCAAAAAATTAAGAGTCCCTCCAGAACTGCAAGCACTATCTCAAGCAAATATTGACAATTTATTCACACTGTCATTACTTGCAGCAATAGCCGATGTAGTGAAGCAACCAAGTTGAGCGTGTGTGTGTTGAATGTGTGTGTTAAGAAGGCCAGACTTGGTGGAGGTGGTTGACAGGGGCGGAGTTGCAAGCTATTGAACGCTGCTCTGCCCCCTGGTGTGCTCTTTGCTTCAGCATGAGCTAGGAGGCAGGTTTCAACCCCCCCACACGAAATTTTCAACTCCCCTCCCCCTCCCCGCAAAATTTTCAACCCCTCCCGAAATTTTTTTCTGGCTACAGCCCTGCTGTGACCTTTTGGTCAACAAGTTTAGCAGCTCAGCAGTTTAACCAACTGTGCCACCGGGGGCTCCAGAAAACTTTTACTGGTGCCAAATTTTTCGGGACCTCAACATTGAGCCCCCACTTGAGGTTGTTACCCACAATTTAAGAAGTAATGGCATAGAGCAGAGGTGCTAAACCTGTGGCCCTCCAGAAGCCCCAGCCATCTTTTCCAGTGGCCGGGAATTCTGGGAGCTGAAGTCCAAAACACCTAGAAGGCATATGTTTGACAATACTGGCCTAGAGCATAGTTGTATCACTGGGAATTACTGTCTTTAAGTCAAATATGAGGCCATGATTAGTGCAAGCAAGATTTTAAGAACTGGCATTGTGTTCTATTTTTTCTTGTTTAAAGGGAGTGAAGATGGGAAATTTAAAATAAATGAAGCCTCTCCTAATCATAAACCAGGCTTCCAATTCTATATGGCAGCTCACCTCAATGTGTCACATATTAAAAGCAGCCTTTAGAGATAGAGGGGTGGTGCAAATTAAAAGCCAGTGCTTGTTTTGAGTGCCATTAACTTTCTCGCCTTTTCACACTAGCTTTTGGGGGGGGGGGGGGGTTACATTGCTTTCTTCTGTCTAAACTTCTCCTAATTATTGATCTCATAAATCAGTGCATCCTACAGCTGTCTTAACATGGTCCTGGAGACTTTATCCTGATCAGTTCTGACAACTCCTAAGCTACTGTTTCCTCACACAATTTAACACAGACCACATTTTTCCAGCCTCTTCTGTCTCACCTCCCAAGGCCAGATTGGTGTCGGTCTGGTTTAAATCTAATGCTCTGTGTTGCTGATTGGTTTTGCTCTGGATAGGAACATGGATGTTTTGCCCTCCCTTTTATTTTGCCAGTTTCCTTAGCAAATATTTTCAGACAAATGACTGTATATTGTTAACCACCACCCCTAACCCCTGGTTAAAGACATTAATCAGTCAGATGCTTTCAAGTTTTATTACTACTATAAAAACTCTTCACCAATGAAACTACTTTTGATAAGTGCTCATTTTGACAACAAGAATTTGCTAAGGGCTGTTGCCAAGTTGAAAGAATTCATGCTTTGAAACTAAAATGGTCAGGAAACACAGTCCAAATGCTTGCTTGCTTTTGTTTTCTGACTCTGGTCCAATAAAAAGCATTTCAGTTTGACAAGTACTTGGCTTTTCAGAAGGCAAATATTGTTCCAATATGGTCACTTTTTCAGTAGTTTCATATAATATCTGTCAACCTTTGAAGATATGTTTGTAGTTTTTCATTACATAAGAAGCAAAATGTGTATGCACAATTTTATATTACTGGAGGATTTTTCTAAAACTCATGAGGTTTTTTACTCCTTATTTCACGTTTGTATTACAGGTTAATAATGATTGAGAGAGAGGTACCAACTCCTAAGTCCCTGTCAGGATGTGAGAGAAAGGATTAAATGCTACGTTTTATTCAGTGATGCCATTATATCAACAGTGATATTTCTTATATTTATAAGAAAGTATTTCATATATATATATATATATTTACCAGAGGAAATATTTTCTTAATTGTAGAAAATCTTTCCACTTCCTGGGTTTATTGCTGGAGACAGTGCTATCACTTCCTGCCTCATTTATTAGAGTGTTTATTTCTTAAGAGTTGGTCTTCCAGATGTTATTGGATTGTATATCCCATCATCCTTAACTAATGTGTATGTTCCTCAGGCTGAAGGTAAATGTAGTACAACAATATCTGGAAGGCATATTGTATTAAACTCTCATAGTCTCCAACATTTCATAGATTAGAACCGGGATCAAGCAAAGTTCTCTTAATGCAATATTAGAGTGCGTCAAGATAACAAAAGAAGAATGCAAGCTAGGAGAGGCTGCAGAGGGTTGCTTTTGCCTAACCTTATAAAGAAGAACAAGATCCCACCCCTCCTTACTTCTCCCCACTGCTAAGTCAGGAACAACTTGAGAAACTGCAAGTTGCTTCTGGTGTGAGAGAATTGGCCATCTGCAAGGACGTTGCCCAGAGGACACCTGGATGTTTGATGTTTTTACCATCCTGTGGGAGGCTTTTCTCATGTCCCCTCATGGGGAGCTGGAGCTGACAGAGGGAGCTCACCTGCTCTCCCGGGGTTTGAACTGCTGACTGACAGGCCAGCCAAAAGGGTTTAACCCATTGCACCACCAGGGGCTCTACTAAGTCAGTTGAGTGGCAAACTATGTACTTTTGCATTCTGAATTCATTTAGCAGCAAATGAAGTAAGCCGGGGAAAAGTGTGAGGATAGAAAATTTGGGACATTTTAAGAACAAGTGAAAAAGTGGGATGACAGAATATTAATCAGGAATATTCCAGCCGAATTAGAACTGTTGTTGGGTATAAACTCTTTTTTATTGTGTTATTGTTCACAAGGGATGGCTCCAAGAAGATCAAGCAAAGCTCTCTTTACGTAACAAGGCCTTGGGTACTTAGCCACTCCTAAAGTGCCCTATCCCGGAAAGTCTGGGTAGACTAGATTTGTGTTGGATGGAGTGCAATGGATTGCTGCGGGATGGCAAAACTGGAGGAATTATGGTATGGGTGAACTGTAGAATTGTAGAGCTGGCCATCTAGTCCAACCCCCTGCCATGCAGGACAAAGAAGTGCATCAAACGTTATTTCTGGACCCTTGCAAAATTTCCCCATCAAAGTGATAATGGAACAGTACTTCCTTATCATGTTGAAACTAAAACTTGAAGAAAGTATACCCATTAAATATTGATGTAATGATAGCCAGCGTGGTGTAGTGTTTTGAACCTTGGAGTATGATTGGAGACCAGGCTTCAAATCCCCATTCAGCCATGCCTACCCACTGGGTGACTTTGTGCAACTCACTCTCGTGGCCTCACAAGAAAGCCAAACTGAGATTGATTTCTTATGTTTATAGAATTGCCATAATCAGGCTATCTTATGAAAACATGTTTGTAATAGATTGCTGTTTATCTTTCTTATAATTGCCAACACAACCTTAGGCTAATGCAAGAGAGAAGAGTGTGAAAGCACTGGAAGAATTTGAATTTGGCCATACTGAGAAATGTGTTCGGATCAATTCAGTGAGCAGTGGTCTGGCTGAAGAAGATCTGAAAGTCATTTTGGACTCCAGCGTTCTTCCTACCAGCCTGATGCTACCAAAAGTTGAAAGTGTAGAAGAAATAAATTGGGTAAGTAAGGATGTCCCATTACTTGGACTTTAGATGAAAGCCTTTGTCTAGTTTCCAGAGAAGAGTGACCAGACCTAGAAAATTTACATCACAATCAGGACATCTCCTGTGGCAATGCCAACTAAATTAATCGTTATCTTCATGTACATGGCAGTTTGTAGAAACTAGATGAGTTCTATAACTCTCCTCACAAAAATTTGGAATTGAATTTTCAGTCCAAAGGTGACCCATTGAATACAAATGGGCACACAAAACTTCACTGAAGGTTTTGAAATACGTTATCAGTCAATTCACAGATTCCCTATCCATGGTTTCACTTACCCATGCTCCAAACATTATTCTCCTAGAAATATTTTTGTGAGCTTCTATAGGTCCTCCAATATGATTTTATGGCATCTAATAACAATGTAGGGTCAAAATATAGGGTTTCCTATTATCCACAGTTTCAGATATCCACAGGAAGTCCTAAAGTGTATCCCACTCAGATATGGAGGTTGTACTGTAATGTTTCAAAGGACAAAAGTTCCAAAAGAGTAGGCACGAGATTGGAACTGCAAGCAGAACACAAATGAAGCCTTTTAAAGTCTTAAGGAGAATTATAGTCTTGCATACTGCTTTAATAAGCAACGCTATCATTACAACAAAATAAAATGTGGTTACAATGTGACCCCCGCCCCTTCCCCTCTTTTTATTATACCCAAACCTTTTTGGCTGCCATGTAAATGTATAGAATACATGCCTTGGAAGTTGTTTGAAAATATAGGTAGAAAGAGGAAACGCTTTAGCAACACATGAAAAAATTATGGCAGGGACAAGAAGGAAAGGTCACTCCTTAGGGCAACTAGAAGAACAAACAGGAAGCTTTTAACTAGTGTTTTTAATTAGCACAGATATTATTTCCTGTCCAGTTCTCTATTTCTTCCTTTTTAATTGCTGACAGGTGTGTTTGTGTTTCATGACTGACTTTTCAGCCAATAAAAACCTGAAATGTAAATGGTTGGCATGTCCAAAGACTTAAGAAAACTTTGAAATAGGCCTAATTATGCTGTGATTGTTGCAATTGTTCAACAGGGATAAGTTTTATTTAGTGATACCATTATTTCTGAAAAATACCAAATGAAGTAATAATGCTTCCCTATGCTGGTTTCATAGTTTGGGAAATCTTTAGGGAATGGCAGAAAAATCAAACTAGATAAAACTGATAAGTGTCTCTGCCAAATCCTTATCTAAATGTCCATAATATCTGTTAGGATTCTAATGCATTCTGGTCTTTATGGATAGCGCTGAAAAATATTTTGATCCAGTCCCAGTCAACAAATGTTTGTGGATGAAAAGCATTATTTTCCACATATGAGACTTGGAAATTTTAGGGTCAAATCAGCTGTGTAACATTATACACAAATAACAATTCATTTTGTCCATTAATATATTCTTCAACGATATAGAGCTGCATGAACTCTAAAAGGCGATGCCCACAGCATCTGTACTGATGCTGAGACAGCAAATGAACACTTTTGGAATGAGATGATGATGACGAATATTTATATTCACATACTTTCTATTAAATGCTTTGGTATTGCCAAATATGCAGTATCTCAATGGGAGATTTTCAGGCCTTCTTTCTAATTCACACTAAGAGGGTCACACCCCAGTTTTCCTGGTCTTTGATTCTGATTTCTAGCATTTTCCTTTCTCAAAATAAACCAACATTCACTTACCCAAACCTGCCACCATCAATTCCTCTTAATTTATTTTTCTCCCTTGGAGACTTCATGAGTTTGGTGACCCTGTTGGTTTTGTTTTAAGAGGGCTGGTGCAATGGAAAGCTTTTGGCTGTTTATTTTTCCCCCCTTCATTTTTATTTATGTGAAGCATAAAACCTGGAGACTGATGCACAACTAAAAGATGGGCTTACTTGTTTTCTTTTGTGTGAGAATCTCCTGCTTTCCTTTTGTCCCTCGTATGGGTACTTGTTTGACTGGCATGGCTTATTGGACTATAACAAGCGTAACCCGGGCTCCTTTGTCGCGGGACAATTCTCCCACAAATCCCGAACAGTGGGCATTCTTCCCAACACACTATCGGGTGTGCACTGGGATTGAAAGCCTTGCTAAGGGCTGCCCCTTCATCCCCGCCCCGATCTTTGTTTTCTCCCCCCTCCTCCTCTTTTCCTTCCCCCTCTCCCTGAAATGAACACTTTACCAGGCCGGAAACATTTAATCGTCTCCTTTTGAGGGGGGAAAAATTAATTGAAACTTCTCCACTAGTTGCCTTTTGTATTTTGTACTAAATAACAAGGCTTTTTTATCAATTAAATAAATGGGGTGGGTGGGACAAACTTGATCAAAAACTCTCGCCTTTAAATGAAAATTAAATTTTTTTTTCTTCCCCCGTTACACGTTTTGAGACCTTTTTTTTTGTCTATGTGTAGACCTTTTTTCTACACAACACTTTATATTTACTATCATTTCCTACTTTACTATCTCCTCCACAATTATTCCCCCACTTTCCTTGTAATCACACAAAAATGCAATAAAAAATATTTTTAAAAAAATGAAAATTAAAAAAAATAGATCATAGATTGGTGTTGTTTTGATTTTGACTGTCTTCACGTACAAAAGGGTTTTCTGTTTTCATTTCAGGTCTTAATAAATTCCCACGCAATTAATTATTAAAATTATCAAGGCTAGACAACGGCATGTTGGGTTTATTTTATTATTATTATTATTATTATTATTATTATTATTATTATTATTATGCAGAGAGATGGTGGCTGCAATGCTGAGCATCCTTACTTGGAAGAAAGCCCAATTGAACCCAATGGGATTTCCTTCCACACGTCTCTTTGCAGTGCCTTCGCACTGTATGCAAAATATTTCAGCCGCATATTTTCTCTTAATTCCTTAAATTCTGCGGCTTACTAGCCTAGAAATGTTTGACAGGCAATAGTGGCAGCTTTGGCAGACTCAGTGCTGATGGAGTAGCTTATGTTACTACAACACGTGCACCAAGAAAAAAAATGAGAAGGTACAAATTTCCCTATTGGAATCAGGCGTGTTTTATTTTTGACCTAATGTAAAGTTACGGCAAAGGGGTTGGAAGCTTTTTTAAAAGAGATTTCGGTGATTAGATTTCGCCCCTTTCCTTTTGGGGAGGGCTGAAGTTGAGTGGGGGAGGGACGTAAAAGGGGAAATAACACCTCTAATCCAGCTTCTGGTAAATAGGCTGCCAGCTTTTAAAATGAGTTTCCTTTCTATTAGTCAGAATATTATGCTAAGCCTTAAGCATTAGTTTTTTATGTTGCCATAGCAGCCTTATTCCTGCAGGGTTGTGACCTGCGATGATTACAGTACAAAGCTTATAGGGTCTTGAAACCCCCTTTGAAGATGAAAAGTCTTTGATGGTTTATATTTATGCAAATCTCTTAGATATGATTTACCCAACTGAGACTGAATGGAGAGATGATTAAAATTCCCTTTTCCTTTGATATCCATTAATGGCTAAATATTCCTTAAATATAAAATTGGTGAATGTTTTTCCCTCCCCGCCTTTATTGACTAAATTTTCCCCCGAATACCTGTGATATGTTTATCTTGCAACACATTGCTAGATCTAGACAGACATAATAGATTTACAATATACAGAGGTGGCTAACCCCCCCCCCTTTTTTTTTCCCCAGTCCCTTTTGAAAAGGAGTGATGAAAAAAAATCTGTACAAGAGCTTTTGTATGTTTCCAGATGATAGATTTTGGAATCTAGGCTACCCCACCGGCAGCGCAGAGCTAGCTGTGAACTGGTCTCATGGAAAAAATTGGAGGGCTTTGGTCTTCAAAGAATTAAACTTCCTTTTTAAGGCCCTTCCTAGGTAAGCTAAAAAATTATGGAGAAAAGGCCTCCGGAACAAAGAGGAACGGTGCCGTAATGAATAATGGGGGTGCCACTTTGGAAAGCTGGGGAGCATTCACAGATGTGTCAGTGTCAGACATGAAACAAAACAGAATGTCAGGTATATCAATACGGCTTTGTTTTTCGGAGCCTGCTGATTTGCATCTCACTAAGCCAGGGTGATAGGTGTTAGGCAAATATTTTTGCAACTAAACCTCTCCACTTCAAAATATACAGTAATGCTGGCATTTCTCAAAGATATAGGCCTGTGAGAGCAGAACTTGCCCCAAAGCTTGCAAAGAAAGGGAGGAGGTGGCTGTCATTAGCATTCGGAGATTTGTTTTCTCTGTTTATTTGTACTGCGCTTCAAGGCAAAGTTGAGATAGCCTTATGAGTTTATAGTATTTTTTTGAATCTTGATCATTTCCCAATTACTCCTCCAATGTTCTCAGTTTGCAGAAAAATTTGCATCACATTTAAAAGGCCGGGCACGTGTAAAACCTATGAATTTTATTCCTTTTGTGGAAACAGCAATGGGGTTGCTCAATTTTAAGGTAAGAAACATCAATATCATTTTGTTAATATTCCTGCATACAGTCCTAGCTGAATAATGTCAAAATGAAAGTTAGAATGCAACATTGTGTTCTTTTCATATTTTAGATTGATCCATTGGGCAAAATATTCAGAGCCACGCAATATAATCCCGTCATGCACCTCTGTGTTCTATCCTACGTCAGTTTACCATTGCTCTTGTTAGATCCTTTCTTTTTTTTATTTTAGTGAAAACAAATAAAACAGCCCTGGAAAGATATAGAAAAGCCCAAGCACACGTTTTGTTCTTGAATGTTCTAGCAACTCTTAGGAACGATTTCGTGTCGTCTTTCAGTTAGATTATTTTTGCAATAATCTAACTGAAAGGAAAGCACATCTACTGAGCTCCCTGACTTTCCTTCGACAACATATTTTGGAATATATAGTTTCAGGGGTCAAATTGGAATATTATGAAATCCTTTTTAATCAAAGAATAATAACATGCACAAACACACATCCATTGAGATTTCTCTCAGTGCAAACATGATTTTAAAAAAATGATTAAATATAGGAATAAAATGGCCTTAAGGTGTGTGGTGTTTTCTTTCTGCATCTGCCCTATAGATATGTTCTTTCTTTGATCCTCCTCCATCTTAATGTTAGCCAATGTCAAATGCATGCGAATGGCCTCCCTCTCTTGGCATCCAGCCTATATATTTCTGGGGAGCAAAGATATTAACAATGATGAAACTGCAACCGGAGTTCAGCACCGCCAGGCCGACATTTCCTGCAAAAGTTTTATGTTGTTCAAGAGTTCTAACTGAGGGACCCTTGTGGCTACTTTGTTGATATGTATTGCATTTTCCAATTAAATCTTAATGATTTTTTTAAAAATTAAATGTAAAGGATTACTTGATATATGCACTTATACTTAGCAAAAACAAAAATATTCAGTTAATGGGCAAGTTAGCAAACTTCAGCAAGTATTTTATTTAGTTATTTATTTATTCACTTATTTATTTATTTATTTATGCAAACCATAGCAGCAGAATACCTTTGCACAAGAGGTCTCTGTGTATGTATGTGTGTGCATGTGTATGTCTTTGTGTGTGTATGTGTGTGTATAATCAGTCGTATTAATTTTAAAATAATAAGCAAAAGCCATTTAGGATTTGCAATACAGTCACAGCTAACTGTATTTCAGTCTATGAAATCACTTTCTCTTAAAAAAAATTACACTTACACAATCCTTGCTATCATATGGATAAATACACTTTGTACAACTTACTTTCTGAATTATTTCGGTGCACTACTTGTTGCAGTTTGAACATCCTGCAATTAAGTTAAGAGATGCTGTATATATTGAATAATAATCTATCCTATGCTGCCTTGTAGGTCATAATTGGGGGATTTTTATTCTCTGTCAGAGATGCAGTTACAAAAATATATATACCACAGTAGTGTGCCTGCAGATTATGAGATACACTTGAATGAAAATACATTCTGAAGTTGCATAAAACCCATGCTTTTTAAAAAAAAAACAGCACTTGGCATACAGTTACAAGTCATTCTGAAATACTTGGTATATTTGAAAGCCTTGTTGTTAAAAGCAAGTGGAATAAAAGAGATTTGTTTTTTCGTCTGCAACCGAGTATCCAATTTTCTGGGACTACGTCCTATTGAATACTGTGGGACTGATTTCTCTGTAGGATAGCACTGTTAGTTTCACTGAATATATTTCTATGTAATTTCAAGTAGTTGGGGTATTTGATGTGTGTATAAATAATGTGTTCTTGTTGTTTATTTGCTTTAAATAGTCAAAGGGTCGTCTACTCGGGGTCTTCTTTGGGAATAGATTTTAGCTGAAAGGTCAACATCTGTTGAGCAATAGGAATAATTTTTTACAACTGCTTGCTTCCATGTGTATTTTTGTTGTATTTGAAGGCTGTTTGTGAAGAAACTCTGAGGAAAGGACCCCAGATTGGTCTTAATTTGGATGCAGTCGTCTTTGGAGGTGAAGATTTTCGGGCCAGCATAGGTGAATCCTTTTTTCTAAAAAATTGATTTAAAATGTCAAAACCCCAATAATAGCTCCTGCTACAATCCTTTACAGTATTGAAGCATCCTATTGTTGAACCACAGTAGGTTGAGTCCACCTGCGATGGATCAGCACTGTGATTTTTCAAAAATGGAACCCATTATTTTTGTATCCATCTTGCTGCCTGCTTAACAGATCTACATTTCTTTGTGTGCTTTACTTTTGAATAGTTGTTCCTTGAAATGTTAAATTCCGCAGCAGCAATGAATTTTAAAATACATGTGCATTCTGCTTCTCAATCTACAGCAATAAGCTCGTTCCAATAGATGTTGGCATTTGCTGCATTATTTTAGATATACAAGTTCTCAAGTGAAATGAATAAAGAAGATGATATTTTCAGGTGTGGCACTCTAGGTTTAATAAAGCCAATTGCTGATGTTTCAGATAGTTTACAATTATCTGTGTGCTTAGTTCTATTTTCTTGAAAGCAATTTTCTGTAGGCAAAAAACTGCTACTCATTGTTTTTTCTGACTCACCCCAGAAACAAAAATGAATACCAGGATTCCCTTTCTATATTTCTAATTATAGGGGTATCAACTAAATTTGCTCCTTTTGAGCTAGTTCTCGTAATCAAAACTTTGAGGGTGTCATTCAGAACCCAGAGCCTCAAATGAAGAGGATTTTCATTTAATGCCACAATGACTAACAGAGTCTTAAATGACTCCTAGTAAAATAACAACTCAGGTCAAAATGGTGTTGCTTTATATTGCAGTGGCAGCCTGAATGCTATATGCTCAATATTGGAAAACCACAGAGGTACCTCCTTAGAAGAATGGGAAAATACAAAGAGAACTATTAGAGAACTTTGTTAATGAATGGCAACCAGTGATTCTAACATCTAAATGTAAAATTAAACTAAAAATATACATAGGGGATCTTATAAGACTGTAGACAAGGAGGAAGCAGATACTAATTTAGAGTCTATGATACCTTTATATGTACTATTCAAATAGAAGACTGTGACGACTTAAAAGACATTATGTGAGAAATGATTATGGAACACTAATTGCTATTGCACTGTAGGCAACGAACACTAAATAAAAATATGAAAATTAAAAAACAGTGATTCTTAAAATAAGAGAGTAAATTAGCATATTTTACAGTACTGTTCATGTAAGAGAGAGAAATTGGAAAGTACGTATGCATGTCTGAAATGCTAAATAATACGAAGGAAGTATAATTGACATCAGTTCTTACAAGTAGTTATTAACCTCAAAGTGTGAAATTATCATACATGCAAAAAAAAACCATGTTAGTCCAATAAATGGAACTATTCTGGCTTGAGTATCATTGTTTTTGTGAAATTAATTTTGTAGTGTGTGCCTTGCAGTGTAATAATAATAATAATAATAATAATAATGTTTCAAATAATGATAATACCTGAAAATGGATTCAAAAATATTTCTCACTGAAGAAAGGCTTCTTCATATAGCTTTCTGCTTTTGTCTGGTTTGGACAAAAGCAATTAACTGTTCATTTCAGAAACAGAGATAGACAGAGGGGAGGGATTTTCTTTTTAGGCACAGCCTTCTTACTTTGTCTGCAGTCAAAATTTCATAGAAACATTTGAGACAGAACTTTTCAAAACTTGTCTGTTTTTCATAAAAAGGAAATCAGCCTGATCTTTACTAAATTTCTGTTGCAAAGATTTATCTGTTGAAGAGTCCAACTTTATCCCACATTTTGCCTTTTCTTTTCAGGCTCCACGAGTAGCAAAGAAACCCTTGATATTCTTTATGCCAGACAGAAAATTGTCGTCACAGCCAAGGCTTTTGGCATGCAGGCCATCGACCTTGTATATATCGACTTTCAAGATGAAGAGGGACTCCGTAAGCAGTCAAGAGAGGGAGCCTTAATGGGCTTCACTGGTATGACTTTTAGATAACATTTAAAACTTGTTATCTTTCCCCCTTAATCATAAAACAGATGTGCTTTATAGTGCTGACTCCTGTTCACCTGCTTAAACGTACTAGTGGAGGGGCAGAGAAGTCCACGAGCTATAAAACGTTTCACAATTACTTTTGCCTGTAAAACGGCAGGTGGAAAATTCCGAGTACAAAATTAGGCCCTTAAAAGTCTTTCAACAAGTCACACCCAAGTGTGTTACACTTTTATTATTACTGAGCGTACAGGATAAATTATGGCAGCAGTATCTGACCCAGTACCTGGCCCCTCTTGTTGCTCCCATTCAGAAGGAACACAGTCTTGACTAAACAGAAAAACAAAGACTTTGTGCCCTATTCAGGGGTCCTCTGGGTATACCATTTCTGCACAAAATCACCACCACTGCATTTTAAGCATCAAAAGTTTTTAAAGTTGTTGTATTTCCACCCCCACCCCCCACACACACCATCTCTAATCTCAAGTCCATTTTCATTTCAACACATAAGTAAAAAAAAATCTTAATAATCTGCATTTTCATTATGTGGTGCTGGAGATCTTTTTTTTAAAAAAACTCACCTACCGTAACAATCACCCAATATAATCATTAGTCTGTGATTATTATTTTCTATCCTGTCTTTTCCTTTCATCTGATTTTCCATATTCTGGCTTGTTTCCAAGTAATTGCCTGTTTGCCTGATGACACCTTCATGTAGTGGCGAGACAGCAGGATCAAGCAGACTTCTTGCAGCCAATCCCTGTAAAACAGACGGATTGGCCATGACTGGTGCGCCGGATCATGCGGGCGCTCCTCTGAGACATGATAGATAACAAAGATTGCAGCTTTTGGATAAAAATCTATGACTTGGCTCTCACACACAGATTACAACATGTTTTAAAGAACTACATTTCAATGATACAGCTCATTTAAGGCACCTGCATGGTTTTGAAATGGGAAAGGCTTGAAGGAGTTGAGGAAGTATGTGAAGCTCTTAATCTGAAATCCAAACATATCCGTTTTTGAAGAAATGTAGCACAGAAACCCACTTGAATGGCCAACTACAATTTCTAACAACAATTACAAAATAAAAAGAGTACTTATTAGACCAACACATCTCTTACAGCATATGCTTTTATATAAAAATAAATAACGGCATAAATAGATTTGTCTTTAAAGTACTTCCAAGTTCCTGCCTCTTTCATTTTGTTGCCACAGACTAAAGAGTCTATCATTCTGAAACAAAAGAAATACATTACAAGATGCTTTTGATAATCTATTTTTTCATGGTTTCACAGTCCTGTCAAAGTCAATGAATTGGACCAAAAGCTGCCTGTGATCCTGAATCACAATTTTCATTTAGCTCAGTGTCATCCCTCTGAGGCACAGGGAAGAGTTTTATCCCAGGTCAGACTATTTTTCAATCCCTCCAATTTTCTCTACTGACTGGAAGCAGCTCTCTAATGCATTAGGCACTGGTCTTTCCCATCATCAGCTCCCAGATTAATTTAACTGGAGATGCCCGGGACCTTGAGTATGCAAAACAGATGCTTTGCTTTTGAGCCATGGTCTTCCTCATGAGATGGATGGGACTGCTACCAGAATTAATAAAACAAGCACCATCTCTCTTTGTGAACATGGACGCATTGTGTAAGCAAATGAAGTCCCTCTGGATCTTGAACACTAAAATTGAGTAGGGCTTAAATCCTACCACCTCCTCTTCATGAATAATATTGATAGAACCAGACTTTTATTTCAGATTGATTAAAGCATATTCTGGTTGTGTTCTCAACATCTTTCATGTTATGTTCCCTATGCTTGAAATGAAAGGAATAGTTTGTGAAGTAATGCTTGTTCACTACTTGAGAATGGAATGTGATAACTTAATAGGTAAGATAATAATGGAGATATTTTACTGATCTTAAGATAACTAAGGAGTTAAAAATAACTACATATCATGTAACTTTCAAAATGGTATGTAAACACCAATCAAGTATTTACATACCAATTTGAAAGTTACATGTGACACAGTTGTCTATAACTGTGGCCACCATAGCAACGGGGGCTCACCTCGTACCACGAATTCGAACCACCGACTTTCAGGTCAGCAAGTTCTGCAGCTTAGCTGTTTAACACGCTGCGCCATCGCAGCCTCCTTAAAATTAGTAGATCGGGTTAAAGAGGAAGAGCTGAGTAACTAGTTACTAATGATATGATGAAAGTTAGACCAGAGTGCAAATATTTTTCTATTTCTGTGTTTCTCCAAATGTTATTATTTAATTCTATGGTGAGAAAGGGTTTGGAAAAATGTGTATGGTAGATAGGATCACCATATGTGAGAAGTGTCCTGAAGACCCACAACAAGAAGAGGAAACTCTATATGATATGAGAAATTGCATACTTTTAGTGTATTAGGAAAATAATTTGCAAAAATCTAAATAATAAGGAAATGTGTGTATAACATGTTCATGGGCATACAAGTCAATACAAATTGTTGACTATATTGGGGAGGGGAGCAATGCAAATTGTTCCAGAAATGTAATACAATTAACCTTTTCTTGAAAAAAATGCAAAAAAAAAAAGCAGGAAGAAATTCAAAAACAGCAAAACAAGCTATTGGGTATGAGATTATACACTTACAAAGATCAAGTTTATTAAAATGTTTTAAAGGGGCTTTTTTTGTTCTCAAAACTTGGAAACAGCCTTAAATTTTAGAGTAATTAACATGTAATCCTAACATCTGAGATGGATACAAATTTTCATTAAGCCATTTCAGAATACATGGAAGGATCTTGGAGGATGCTTGAAGTTAACCTCTTTTCCTTTCCTTACCCATTTAGTGGTGTCCCCCAAACCCTCCTTGTGGTGTTTTTTAGGGGAGAGGGAACTTAAGGGTCTATTGTGGAGAAAAGTTGACATAGAAACTGTTTCTATTATTCCAGTTTAAGACTGCTTTTCACCCGTTTTCACTACTCTTTAATAACTTTGATTTAAGTGCAACTAATGTGAATCAAAAGTTGCTACCTGTAATCAGTCCTAAAGACACAAAATAAACATTGATACTTCCAGTGACAGGAATTAAAATGGTTAGTTTACTAAAACATAGCAAACACTTTCTCTTGGAGCGATTACAGTGTGCATGTGGATGGCATCTTATCATGTTACATAAAGGGCTGTCTTATATATCACTGTGCCACCATGGCAGACATGGCAAAATCACACGTAGAGATCTGTTTTTTAAAAATACAGACCCCTCTCTTGCCTTAGAGAAAATAATTGTAAGGAAACAAGCAAATAAATAAATGTTGGTTAGGCAGGTAGGAAAAGTCCTGCTTCTGTTCAACCGGTCCTCATTTATTTCAATGGTACCTCTGAATGAATAATATGTTTCGAAACACGGTGGACTGCATTTCAATTATGTTGGCATCCCATGAAGGAGTAACCACTGCCATTAATTTTAATGTCAAGTGGAATGGATAGATATAAAGATCTTTATGTAATCTGATCTCATATTAGCCATTGGATTTGCCAGATTAGGACCCAGATAATTAACCAATCTGCCATCTCTTACTAAGTCAATTTGAAAAACAAAAATAAACCCTTACCTAGCAGAAGTCAATCCTTAGCATGAACTCCTGTACCATTCTCAGAAAAGGGTTTCTTCAGATAACCTTTGTGTTGTAGAAAATCTAGTTGCCAACCTGCCCATAGCAAGGTGTGCATGAAACTATATCATATAAATATACCCAAACCACATTAGTCAGTGATAATGCCAAACAGTTGGGAAGTCATCGATTTTCTCAGTGCCTTTTCTTCTGAGCGTTGTCTGTTTTACAGTAAACGTAAGAGTAGAAAGGACTAATGTTAAGGTGAAACCAGAGCTTGGAAATGTTACCTGAGGATGACAACTGTCCAAATCTGCTCTGCGGCATGGCCACATTTGCTGTGGGATTCCAGGAATTGTTATTTTTAAAAATACACGTTTTCCAAGCTTTGTAACTCAAAGATGTATGGAAAACAGCAGTGCTTGAGTCAGACTGGGTCTTCTAATGTGGAGCTACCTTTTATACAGATTTGCTTCCTCTAGATATTTTCAGAATATGCAGACAAACTGTTGATTCTTGGACAGCCTGAGCCTAATTTAAGAAATGCTAGAGTTTCATGCTATTTGCATGGAGATGTGGTCCCTTTCGGGGAAATGGTTGTAATATTGGTAGGTAAATTCGATGTTTCCTTAAGTATCTTACTATGAAAAGTGTTACTAACACTCAAAAAAATAACAATGATGAGTTAGTGTAAGACTTATACCTGAGACAGCTTTATTCAATTTCTGAGAAGTACATCTCTATGTTATTTGCTTTGATTGTGGGGGGGGGGGGGGGGCAGTAAAACCAACACCAGTTCTGGGCATTTTTGGAAGCTCTAAGAATCTGATGCACCACTGTTTGTAATTCTTTTGTTTGAGATTCCTGGGAATTTCTGAAAGAGAACTCACAGAAAGAAAAACACCTCAGATGCATGTCAACAACTATTATACAAGACACTCTCCATTTCAAAGGAAGGAGTCCCCATACATATCCATTTCTGATGTGTGAAAATATGCTTAGAGCCATTTATTATCTTACCAGAGTTATTCATATTTTACGTCACACCTTCTTTTCATGGCTTCTTTAAATGTGTGGCTACAAATGACATTTTGTATGAAGAAGCCAGCTACTATCTTAGTATTGAAAGAAGCCATATTGATGGCTCCCATATCTGTATAATTGGATGTAAATTGCTGAAGTTAAAGAAGTGTGGTTTTCCATGTGTAGTACAAACAACAACAACATAACCAGTCCTTCATAGATTCTGCATCCATAGATTCAGTCATCTACAGCTTGAAAATCACCCTCGACTCTCCCAAAAAATCTTAATTTTGCCATTTTATTTAAGGGACACAATTTAACAATGCTCTGTATATAATGGGACTTGAGCACCCCATGGATTTTGTATCCATGGAAGGTCCTGGAGCCAAACCTCAGCAGATACTAAGGGCCAACTGTATATTTAAAAGGCTTCATAATCACTGTGACTGCCATAATTTCTAGTCTGGTCACCATTTTAAAATGCTAATAATGTTTTCAGTAGAAAACTATTGTAGGATTAGCATAACATGGCTTCCAAATTTCATTTGAGATTTACTACATCATAAATGGTGCCTAAGTCCTCTAAAGTCCCCAGACCCAGCCTGACCTTGGAAGCTAAGCAGGGTCAGCCCTGGTTGGTTCTTGGATTGGAGACCATCCACAAATCCCAAGTACTGTAGGCTATATTTCAGAGTGATTTCAGAAGGATTTCACAGGAAATGTTTGGGCTCCAACACCTGATGTTGGTTTATATATGAGATCAGCATGTACATAAATTCATACAGTAAATCATGTTTTCCATCTTCTTTTAAGAGTGCAGTTACTTTTTTCCATAGTATATATGAAAGCAATGGGGCCCCTTCCACACAGCTGAATAAAATCCCACATTAACAGCTTTGAGCTAGACTCACTGCCATATATTCAAAGCAGATACTATGGGATTTTCTGCCTTGATATTCTGGGTTATATGGCTGTGTGGAAGGGTTCTGGGTTGAATCCAGTGAAACTAATGGAACTGAGGTTGCATCTACACTGTAGAATTAATGAGGTTTGGCATCAATTTAGCTGCCATGACTCCGTTCTGTCAGTTCATGGGGTTTGTAATTTGATGAGGCACCAGCACCCTTCGGCAGAGAAGGCTAAATTACTTGTAAAACTTCAGCTCTATGATTCTGTAGCATTGAGCCATGGCAGTTAAAGTAGTGTCAAACTGCATTAATTCTGCAGTGTAGGTGCACCCCATGTTTGACTGAGAGCCAGTGTGACTCTAACTCTGGCGCCAACACCAGTGTCTCTCCAAGTGAGTCTCAAAGGTAATAATGTTTATGTGCCTAAAAATGGTAAACCCCAGAATGGCAGTTTAACAGCTGACTTAGTCATTATATCTCCTCCAGAGCAACATGCTGAGCAGCCAGATATAAATATGAAACTCTACAGTCTTTTTGCAGTCTTTTGTAGAAGACAAAAATGACACCATCATAGAGTTACATAAAAGACTTGACGGGTATTGATTTAAAGCACGATATATCAAGTGGTACTGCAAAAAGGATTTCATGGTCATAAATTTTAATGCCTTCCAGTTCGGCAACCTCTCTGTGACTTGTCAATAATAACAGTTTGGTCTGAAAATTTTTCCTTGTTTCTCCATGACATCGAGGTCCATTATGCAGGTGTTTGAGTCCTCCAGGTGTAACAAAAGGCAACCCTAGGGTCACAAATCAAATAGGGTGTTTTTATATTTTTACTGATGTCATTTTAAAAAGGCTAAAGCTTTCATAATAAGGCACATCCAGCAGAACATCTTCCTTTCACAAAAGGTTCACTGGGTTTTTTTTAGGACTCCTTCCTCACATATAGTTTTCATATTCTTTTCTCATTTTTCTTATGAATTACATCTACATAAACTGGTGGGGATTGTTATTATTATTACTATTATTATTATTTCGTCATGTACATTAGTAGATATTTCTTCTTGTGATATAATTTCAAATACATCTTAATTTAAAACCATGACGGTTCTGGCAAAAATGTTTTCAGAACATTATGCCAATTTCTTCAGTGTAATTCCTTTTCAGAAATTATCCCTCAAATATTTTTTAAGTATTTTTCCATATAGAATTTATGGGCACATCAGAATCTTAAGAGTATACATATTTCTGATTAATGATAATACAATTAAAAGAAATATAATAAAAGCTCTAAACTTCTAAAGGGATCCTATCCCATCTAAGCTTAGAAGCTAAGCAGGGCCAAGCTGTGGTTAGTACTTGGATGGGCATCAGGCATTGAACACTAAGACCTGGACGCAATATTTTATAGCAGTGGTCCCCAACTTTCTTTCTTTCTTTCTTTCTTTTTTTTTTTTGACCAGGGACCACTTTCCAACATTAGTGCCAAAAGGGTTACGAATCACTTTTTGGTCAACTTTAGATTTGGTTTGGTTATTTGGGATGCTGATTCAGAAAATTGCATTGTATAGACCACATCAGCCATAGTTTCTGTTAAAGAACATTTGCCATCCAGTAGTTGCCATCTGCTCACTGATAGAAAACCATAATTAATGAGTCATTCTCATTGCAATAGTGAGGCCACAGACCATATTTTAGTTCTTGCGGACCACTGGTGGTCCATGGACCACAGGTTGGGAACCACTCTTTTAGAGGAAAGAATTGGCAAAACCATCTCTGATTATTTCTGAGAACTGGTGAAAGCTTTCCTAAGACTTGAAAGCTTCTTGTAATATGTTTCTAAATGTGTGAATGCAAAGAAGAAGTTGCACTACTTTAGTTAATTTTTTAAAGAATTGACTCAGTTTTGGAGAAATACTTCCAAAGAACAAATTTCTCATAGCAATAGATAAAGAAAGATAAATGCCCTCTTTTACTTCTTATTAGTCACGGTTATGATTTTCTGTTTTTAATTTAATCTAGTGATTTAATATTGTTCTATGTATTTCTGCTTGAGCCACCATAAGCTACAGAAAGGCAGCACTGAAACATTTTAAATACATTTGTATATTATAATTTATAGTAAATTATTCTTGTATGTACTTTAAACCAATGGAAATGACCACATTTCCAATATCAGTTCAGTAATATCACTTATCACAAGACTGTTTCTTTGCTGGAATATTTTTTGTATTTGGAAATGAGAATTTGGATTTTATCTTGCATGAAAAGAAATCCACCATTGTGTTTTCTGAACCCCTTTCCCCCTCCAAATCCCAAAAGCAGTGCCAGGCGAGTGCATAAATCCATTCTAACACAGGTGGGAATCTTCGTAACATTCAAACATTTCTGTGAAAGGAAGGGGGAAAAACATTTTCAGAATGAGAGCTCTAATTTGTTACCTCTTTTTCCTTTACTTTTTAAAAAGAAATATCTTTCTTATGTCGGAACATGTCATTTTAAAAAGCATGGGGTTTTTTGTTTGGAGATTTGAAAAATCTGTAAGTGGCCAATTATTATGCTATTAGGATTGGTGGAATAATCAGAATGGAAGGGCGTTCATCTGCTTCAACAATGAAAGAATCATATGAAATAACATTTCCTAAAATATCATTTCTTATAAGTGCATACTTTGGAGGAGAAAATTTTTTTTAAAGTTTCACGCCTGGAGAATCAGCTTTAAAATGGTCTCAAGCATTTGTATTTTCCAATTTTAGCTTCCCTGCCACAATGAAAACATTACAAGTCAATTTTCAATCACAATACATTGTACTCAGTATGAAATATAATTAAACAATATCTTACGAAAACCAAACAAACCACAATAGACTGAGCAGTAAATATTACCTGGTCACTGAAGAAAACTCTTAAAATTGTACTTTGCTCAAAAACCTTGGTTTTACTTTTATTTAGCTTTTTCTTTGCTTTGCATTAGAAAGATGGAGGACAAAACTGTAAAAGTATAATACAGCCCAAGAGGAAAATGTTCTGTTGGAGTTTGATTGGATTGAATTATGATTTCGTGTTTCTCCCATTCGTTTCAATGAGGCTTACGAAGGAAAACTTTCTGGTGGATTGTATCCACTGTTTTGGAGGGTTTTATGATTTTGATTTAAGACAAACTTATAATAAGCAAAGGGTTGCTGAAATGTTATGACTGACTTTATGTGCAGAATTTAATGAATAATTATTTGTAAATGGAAGGAAATTCTTACGCTTTAGTGTTAAATTCTAATTCTACTGCCTACATTTTGAAACTCTGGTTATACTGCTTACACTTTTTATTATACCATTTTTTGTATGGTTGGTAAAAATATTGAAACAACAGACACATTTGTAAATATCACAGTTATTAAGAGCGATATTACTCTTGTGTCTTTTTCTTTAGTTCACATTGGATAGGAGAAGTCGGGCTATTCATTGTGCAGCTTAAAACTGAAGGAGGTTCAATTTTTGTTTCAAAATGCACAATCAAACCTGAGAGCCTTGCAGCACTTGAAAGCCTCAAGTGATTGGAACATTTTCCTGGAACATCTGTTGGTTAATGCTTGACTCCGGGGTTATTAATCTTCTTTGTAGGTAAGCAGGTGATTCACCCTAATCAAGTTGCTGTTGTCCAGGAAGAGTTCTCGCCAAGCTCTGAAAAAATAAAGTGGGCACAAGAACTGATTATGGCTTTCGAGGAACATCAGCGCGTGGGCAAGGTAAGCCTCCTCTTTGTACTTACTGCAAAAGGAGAATGTTGGTTCGGAAGAAGGAAATGTAGAGGGTACGCAGCAGTGTCTGTGCTGACGTCATAAAGATCACCATTAGAGTTACAACAAAAATGTTATGTAATGGACAGAACGTACACACACTGTTACATTTGCATATGATATAAAATGGAAAGAAGCATGTTCAGTTTAAAATTGAGAGCACCTTTACTCTAGATAGCTGCTTGAGGAGGATGAGAGTGATGATGTTTTAACTGCCATAACAATAATAATTAGCCTTCAATCTAGCAAATCAACTTAGATGATATGCCTAGATGTCCAGTTAGCATTCAGTTAGTATTTCCACTAATAAGCTTACTGATATAGTTGGAAGGGAGAAAATGAAATAAAAATCACAAATTGTATTATTCTGCCTTTGTTTGTTGGTGTACTTCAAGGATTTATAATCCAACTCTCCAGTCAACTTTACAGGACATCTTACACAATGTCCATCTAATTTTGATAAATAAATAAAATTATGGACATGCTCTTTGTCTTTCTTTCTTTTCTCTTCCTCATCTTCTCAAATATTGGGGTTCTGAACTTGTAGAGAATTTTGAGTGAAGTTATCAATTGCACCTGACTTGCTACAGGTTGGAGCTCCTGTTTATTCCAACATGGGAATGGAGTGATACGCAGTGTTTCTGGACCAGTGTTGTGTGTGTGTGTGTGTACACACAGAGATTATATATATATATATATGAACAAATTAGGGCTCAAATATGATTGTTCCTAATTTAGTGCATCGTTGAGTCTCATGTTTCCTGCTCTGTGGGTTTCTGCTGTGTAAACATTGCGGTGGTGAAGCACAATCTGTCTTCACTTTGTGCCAGTAACACTTAAATTAGGGGGCGCCTGAAGGAAATTTTTATGCTAGCTGCAGCATTGTCAGCTAATTATCTTAAAGGTTATTTGCTACAATGTAGTTTGCCACTTTGGAGGGGGGGGATATTGCAATTAAATGTGCTTCTTTTGGGTAGAGCCAAAGTCTCTGAAATGGTTTTCAAGCCAGCGGAGTTTTGATGTCCAGAAGTGCAGCAAAGGAAGTGTGATTCTTTTCAGTGTAATTTGCACAGCATTTAATTGCCAGAAAAAACATCTTCAGAAAAGCTGCGTACACATAACACACAACAACAACAACAACAACAACAACAACAACAAAATGTTTGTGCATACATACTTCTTGCTGTTCCCTACAAAACCCACTAATATTTTCTCGATCTGTGAGATTCTATGGGAGTATTTTCATGCAGAATAACTAAAAGCTTCCCTGTATTAACATTTTATTATGAGATTTCAAGACAAATCAATTTCAACATTGGAATAACAAAATTCTGCCTCCATATCAATCCATGACATGCCTAAAACAAGAATGGCCAAAGTGGATGCTAGTTTAAAGGTTACTCTGACTAAATTATCAATTTGCATCTGTTCTGTTTTGGACTCAGCTTAATGAAAATTTCAGAAAGTAAAAAATGAATGCATAGAAACAGACTTTCGACATGCACCTATTTCTGTGCACCTATTTTTTAGTGTAGCTCTACACCTATCTCTTTGTGTGTACAATGCTGGTGGGACATTTATATGGCAGCTAATATTTCCAGGGAATTTTGAAGAATAAACAGAAAGAAAGCAAGGAGTTAATAATCAGGCAGAATATTTATGTTCACCCCTTTTCCATTGTTGAGCCATATTCATTTTCATTTTCAAAATTTCTTCCGTTCCCTTTGTGTAAACAACAGACAAAATAAAGCGCTTATATAAAAATGCTTCGATATCCTCTAAATTGTTTTAAATAATTTTATCTACAGGTCCCCTCAAACTGTTGCTCTCTTTGATGCTACAACAGATTTATCATTTTGGAATAAATTGGAATAAATGAATGAAATTAGTGGATGGATGGATGGATGCATTAGCTTTTGCAGAATCTGTTGCCCTTGTCTGCTGGCGAGTTCTTCCTGCAGCCTGTGACTATGAGTCACAAAAATACAGTAATTTTCTGTGACTTGTTTTTAACTCAGATATTTATCAATATGACACTGAAATTTTGACCTTATCAAAGTGAGCAAGAGCTTTACCATTGACTTCAGCAAAGCCCTCGTCTCACCGAATGAGGTGATATCAGATGTTGTTTGATCAATGTTTCTTGAAAATCCCTTATTAAACCTTGTATTGAAAAATCTGGCCAAGTCTGAATTCTTAATTTTCCAAAAGAGTAACCTCTTTCAACAGGAGATCTATATAGTGTGTTCATAAAGAATTACATTTTTATCATGATTTAATGCTTCCAGTCTTCTACGTTTTATCTATTGCTTGTATATTATTACTCTGTGCTCCTCACCTTCATATACCAGATTGCCATCAAGTGCTGTTCTCTCTAGCATATTCCTTCCTGCTTCTTTGATTTCTTTGTGTAAACAGAAGCTTTACATTTCAGTGAAACTAAAATTCAACTCTGGATTGATACTTCTAAGCCCTCTGTAGTTCATATGTGATGTGAGTGTATGTGTGAATGTACTATTAATCAAAACTGAAAGCCTGGAAAAAAATAGCGGAAATACAAAGGATTAGAGCGACTAGCCTGCTCACAGATAAATTGCTGGTCTCGAACGTCTGAGATCACAGTTTGTTGTTAATTGGAAATTCTTCAAGAACAAAGTTTGTTGCTCTCAGTCAACAACAGTTTACATTAACATACAGCAATCATTGCTCACAATTTATCACAGTTTGGGGGACACAGAATAACTTTCACCGAGAGGATCCAAGCTATAGTTTTGTTTCTAAGTGAATGAGTGATGGGAGCTTAGTTTTAAGAAGTAACCAAAATCAGAAGGAGATTGAGTAATAACTGGTCATTTCAACTGTTATGTTAGTGCTATTATATTATGGCCAGGTGTCTATTGCAAGCTTGTTGTAGACCTAATATCAAAATGTTTGCACTTTATTTGTTTCAGTGGTGGGGAACCAGAGTCATAATGCTTTAATTTGGCTAACAATCTAGCAATATTTCCATCAGGATGTTTTTTATGCCAATATATAAGTTTTGTCTGATTTATTTAGATCTCTTATTCATACAACTGCTATACTCTCTATTCTCAATGTTCTGTATTGGCAGAGCTCAGTTAATAAACCGTAAAATGTTATTTTGAAATTATCACAAAATCATGGTGTTTTAGATTATTTAAGCTATAATCAGGAGGAATATTCAAGGAATTGATGATACAGTTTTGTGTCTGTAGTAAAACAGATACTCAGAGCAATTCGTTTAACAACGTGCAATATAATCTGACATAATGCCACAAGAATGTTAATTTATATTATTGCTTTAAACTGCTTATTTTATGATGTTTTATACTTATTATCAATGTATATGGATAGTTGTTTACCTGATTTTAATATGTTGTAAGTCACTTTGGGTCCCATGAGGAAGAAAAGCAGAATATAAATAAAGATTTATTATTATTATTATTATTAATAATAATAATAATAATAATAATAATAATAAAAACATGCAAGAACTCTTTAAAAGGTTTAAAAGGGGGAAACAATTTTGTTTTGCCTTTTTACTTTATTTTATATTTGATTACTCACGCACCACCCTTTCAAATTAGTTTAAATAATTATAGCTGCATACGCCATCACACATTTTCAACAGAGAAGAGCAATATGGTATTAAATACTAAAAGTGTTGTTTGCCAAGTTCAACTAAGGATGCATGTTTAAGCAGGATTACGTGCACATATCACCTGGTAGATTGGAAACATGGGGCATTAATCGGAAAACACCCAAATGAGGATTTTCGGTCTCCTCACTGTGTTGTCTTGGAATATTCGTGTTCCTGCACAATACGCTACCACATTGTTTGCAAGCAATTAATGATGAACTGGAGGGGAGATAATAGAATCTAAGAGTCTGAAAACAAGGGAAGAACCAAAAGAGGTTTAGTAGTATTAAATAAAATGTTAAATATGTGGTGGAAAATTGTTTTGATGCAATATTTACCTAGTATTTGAAAACTGTATTCTGTTTATTTACACCAAAACAGAACTAATATGCAAAACAATATTGTAATATTTTTGAGACTAATTGAGAGAAGGAAATTCATAATATAAGCTTTCATAGACTGAGTCCTCTCAGTCAGAAGTCAACTCAGTCTAGGAAACTTATGCTACAAATTTCTTTTTCTCAGTTTCTCTCAAAGGTGCTGTAATATCGCTTTGCATATTGATCCAGATTAACATGATTATGGCTTGGAATCAAAGCAGAACTAATCAAAAAGTCTATCAGATTAAATAATAACTGCATTGGAAAAATATATGAAAAATATTTTCATATAAAATGTTTATTTATATAGAATTTGTTATGTCCTGCCCTTCAGCTTAAAATAACGAAATGACCAGTATATAAAAGAACCAAATATGAAAAAATACAAGTCAAGATCCTGTGTCAGAAGCTACAATGCACAACTTTACAATGATGGAACTGCATTGTTGACACCGTTCACAGTCATGCTGGTGAATAGTGCACAATGGGGGACCATTCAACAGGGACTCCCATTGCATAACAGGATGTGTAATGTATCGAGACATGTTGTATATCAGTCACAGAGATCCCAATAGTATCTCTACTCTCTTCCAGAGAGTAAAAATGTTGTGCACTTGTACAATTCCATTTTTCAGGATCGTAAGTTCATTTACAATGATGTCACTTCCCAATAGAATTCCAGAATGATTTTAAAATATGCCACTACCAGTCTAAGTCCATTTATTACCAGGAAAGGCTTCTACAACTGGTGATTACTGAAGAGGAAGGAGTTCAAAGGAGTAATGTGCAGTTGGTCTGGGCTTTTAGGAAGAAGGAAATGAGGATGAACTCCCAGATGGAGTGTCCACGTTTTTCCTTCTCCTCAGAGTAAAGACCAACTGTTTCACCCTCCTTCTCTGAACTATGTC